AACATGGCCGCTGTGGTTAATAATATTGTTGTTTTTGTGCCAGGACATGAACAAACAAACAAATACGCGCTGTTTTGTTGAATATTTGGTCCAACGTTACCTGTTTACGCTACTTACTGCGGCTGAGTGAACACTCCGCACCTGTAGGGGGCAGCAGGGAGCAAGTGTCATAGAAACAAGGCGAGTGAAGTCACGAAGAACACCGTAGAAGGATGCAGTGTTTGTTAACGGAGCCGGCGAAATAAAACTCATTTATCAACCGTTGAAATGAAGCTGGTGAGTTAACAAGCTGTTGGCAGAATTAAAGTCGCCAACACAACCTCAGCTGGCTATAATAATGGGTCACGAAGCCGTCAGGGTGTCTTTCCTCTATCCTGTTAGCTTAGCAGCTATTAGCCCTGTGTGGTCCTCTCTCAGTAGTCAGTAACGTTATCTAGCCAGCTAACAGCTAGGCTAACAGTCAAGCTATGAAAGCTAATATGAAAATACTCACAGTTGGAGCGCTTTGTTCTTAAAATGAGCCAAACGTTACAGCTGTTTGTGTTTGGTTTTTTTTTTGCACAGATTATAGACTCTCTGCCTGCACTAAATGTGTGTTTTTAATTGTATTATTTCATGACTTTATAGCTACAATTATTCAAAGTAACTGTCAACAGAGGCGAGGTGTTGTACAGAGCAGTAATAGGCTACAGAAATAATATTACTCTGAAACAGAACACAGATCTCACAGGTGTTTTTAAAACCAGGTAAGTTAAGGGACACTTGCACAGAAGGTGAGTCACCTACATCAGTAAACTAGACACACCAGACAGGAGAGCATCAAAGACTGTGGCTGTATGTTTTTATTCTGCTCTGTATCTGTCATGTATTGTGTTGCTGACACAGCCATGTTTGTTACTAATCACTTTCCTTTCTTCTCTCAGTATTGTCTGTCTGGCCATCCCACATTGCCTTGCAATGTGCTCAAATTCAAATCCACCACCATTATGTTGGACTGTGGGCTGGACACCACCTCTGTCCTCAACTTCCTGCCCCTTCCTCTTGTCCACAGGTGAGTCAGTGACATCAAGTGGTGCCTTCATTTATTCATTAATAGATGGACGACTTGTTTTTAGTCATGATGGGTCTTTCTTTTTTTGTTCTTTTCAGCCCACGACTGTCCAAACTACCTGGCTGGGTCTCGAAAGACGGAACAATAAACTTGGAGAAGGTATGAGAAGCTGTTTCTGTTGCTTTTAATTCACTGAGTATTCCGTATCTGAACTAGAGCTCATGTTTGATTGTTCCTTTGTGAGGGTTACCTAGAGTTGTGTCTGTTTCTCTCTCTGTCTGTAAAATGTAAATACATTGATATTTGTCTGTGACGCTACAAAAGGAAATAAGCTATTTCTTTCCATCGTTGCAGGAGCTGAAGGAGTGTGCAGGACGAGTGTTTGTGGACTCACAACCAGAGTTCTGTCTCCCTGAGGTAGCAAACATGGCCGCCATACATGCAGGATATTTAGTTGAAGTCCAGTGTTTCAAATGAATGATTCTGCTCCGGGACATTAAAACGCTAACACATCCTTTTTCTAGTTATGTGTCAGTCAGTTTCCTTTTGACTGAATGGCTTGATTAACTTGCCAGCCCAGATATTTCATTCTCTTTTCATGTTATTATTATACAGTCCAGTATTTCTAATATAGATTATAATAAATGCTCCTCCCAGTGTAATAATACACATCATTTATATTGACCACAGAGGGAACTGCTGGATCTGTCCACCATCGATGTCATCCTGATCTCCAACTACCACTGTATGATGGCGCTGCCCTACATCACTGAGCACACAGGCTTCACTGGGACAGTGTACGCAACAGAACCAACCCTACAGATCGGCAGGTAAGGAGATACGAGGGATGCAAACTTCATCATATTATTTTTATATTAATTTGAAGGACACTGTACATTTTGTTATTTGAAAGTTGAGTTTGAAGAACAAATGTAACGTCAGGAAAATAAACTCTGGCTGATGTTGTGGCTTCAGTTCTTTAAGAATTGCTTATTCCTGTTGTTATTTCACTTTCACAGACTGTTGATGGAGGAACTGGTGAACTTCATGGAGAGAGTTCCCAAAGCCCAGTCTGCCACCTGCTGGAAAAACAAGGAAATACAAAGGTAAGAAAATTGGTGAGAAAAATTGAAAATGTACAAAAAAAAAAACCCAACCTATCTGTGGGTAATTGTGGAATATATTTATTTCAGAGTATTTTTGCATTATAATTATATCATGTAAAAATATAAAATGTGACATTTCAAACACAGTCCTAGAGGCTTTTTACCTTTCCACTGTTGATCTTGTCATGTATTTGGTTTTAATTGGCTCCATTTTATTTTATTTTACCGTCAGTTACTTTTCAACAGATTAACTAATACAATCAAATTTTTAAAAATCATTATTTTATTACATTAGGATGCTCCCAGGGCCACTGAAGGATGCAGTAGATGTGTGGACGTGGAAACGATGCTACAGCATGCAGGAGGTCAACTCTGCCCTCAGCAAGGTGCAGCTCGTGGGATATTCACAGAAAGTGGTAAGAACTTTCTTTCCTCCTACATCACACAGGATCAGGGTTATTTAGTATACATTGTTTTTGTATAGGTAACACTCAGAGCTGAAATAGTTTGAAGCTTCTTTTCATAATGTTGACATACGAGGGTGTCACTCTGAGCCAGTGCAAGTTATATTCAATAAATAATGACTAACTCTTTTAATTCGATTATTCACTTCATTCAAATTGAGGATTTTGGTCAGGATTAGTTTTTATGTTTGATCTTAAATATCCATATACATCCTCTTGTATTCTCATCGTAACAACCTTCTTCCTTCTCCCTCCAGGAGTTGTTTGGAGCCGTACAGGTCTCCCCCTTGAGCTCTGGTTACTCTTTGGGAAGCTCCAACTGGATCATCCAGTCTCATCATGAGAAAGTTTCCTATGTGTCAGGTTCCTCCCTCCTCACCACACACCCACAGGTCTGTCCAACAATGGAGGAAATAACACTAAGGGGCCGACCGAAACCTGCACGATCCAGAATGTGACACCAGTGTTTCACTTGACTCTCAGTGTTTGTGTGTGAAATGCATTTAAATTAACATCACAGATTCTAAGATGGTTTTTCAAACTGAAAGATGATCAAACCCTCCTCTTATATGTCAGCTTTTGTTTATATGTTTATAAAAATCCCAAAACACATGAAACATTGCACAAATTCATTTCTTGTATGACTAATATACAATATACTGTAGAGCGCGTGAAATGTCATTAGAACTACACGTAGACCAGAGTGAGCAGGAAACAAACGTTTGTTTAACAAGAAATAAATTCATACAAAGTTGAAAATTTTGACTCCAAACACGTCAAAGTACATTGACATCTCTTGTATAGCTATATGGCTGTATAGGCCTAGTCACTTTAAACTATAATAAAGTCTAAATTCTGCAAATGTAAAATATTGTCAAAAAGTTTTGAAAATTCATTGGTAAAAACGTGTGGGAACTCTGGTACCATGACAAACTTAGAGGAACCTTTTCACAGGGCTGCTGATAATTTAAAGTCTCATCTTCTCTCCTCCCAGCCGATGGACCAAAGCTCCCTGAAGAACAGTGATGTTCTGATTCTGACAGGCCTCACCCAGATGCCCACCGCCAACCCAGACGGCATGCTGGGAGAATTCTGCAGCAACCTCGGTAGGTCCAAACGTACTGGATTATGTTAAATCTAGAGATTTAGGCGGTAATTCTAGTTCTAAGTATTTATTCTCTCTCTGTGTACGTAGCCATGACGATTCGAGCAGGAGGAAATGTGCTGGTGCCGTGCTACTCGTCAGGGGTGATATATGACCTGCTGGAGTGTCTGTACCAGTTCATAGAGAGCGCCAACCTGGGGACCACGCCCTTCTACTTCATCTCACCCGTCGCCAACAGCTCGCTGGAGTTCTCTCAGATCTTTGCTGAGTGGTAAGGAGCTGTTCGGCAAAATGTCCATACTTTAGAAATCTGTCAGCATACAGAACACGTACAGCACATGTAAGAAGTAATACTGAATCACACACAGTGACAGGTGAAGAGAATCATATTGATCATCTCATTACACTGCAGCATCATGCTGGGAAACCTTAAATTCTGGCATTAGCGTTGATCCCATCTGACCCAGGTTCCAGGGTTAGGGTTAGGGTCCATGCCTCGACAGGTCAGAACCAAGTCCAATCCAAGAAGGCCCCAATGTGGATAGGGGGCACAGGCACTTCCCATGAATCCTTGATCAGACTGGGACCTGGGGAATTTGAAGGCCAGGTTGATACCTTGAGCTCTTCATCACATTCCTCTGGTCTGTAACAATGTTTGGGTGGGTGGAGCCAGTCAAGTTGCATCCACATGAATGTGAGGACCAAAGTTTTCTCAACAGAACATTTTATTGTAACGTGATTCTGATTTTGTCACTTGATTTTGATGTTGGTTTAAAAGCACATAAATGCAGTCGAAACAAATTGTAAATGGTGCTTATTTACTTGATTGGCTGAGGCCGTTGAGAGCTGTGGTTTCCCGTCGTCACGTGCATTCACTTTTTTTTTGTCTCTCTTTTTTAAGGCTTTGCCACAACAAGCAAACAAAGGTTTATCTTCCAGAGCCTCCGTTCCCTCATGCAGAGGTGAGTTCTGCAGCTGTGTCTCCTACCAGTGAAGAACAATGTTGCATTTCAGAGATTATGGATAGTCAGAGATCCTGATTTTAAGGTAGCAGATGACCCTGCAGGCCAGTGAAAAGCTCAGGGCATTCCATACAGTCCCTCAAAACGGCGCTCTAAGCACTACGATCGTTCCTAGTTCTTACGCCGAGGGCACAACAAAAAAGGGGTAGAACTGTGAAAAAGTTCCTTCGGGCTTTAAACGTTTACAAACTTCTGTCTTATATGTGCTGCGTTGTTGTTTCAGCTGATCCAGACCAACAAGCTGAAGCACTACCCGAGCATCCACGGAGACTTCAGCAGTGAGTTCCGTCAGCCGTGCGTGGTGTTCACCGGTCATCCATCTCTGCGCTTCGGGGACGTGGTTCACTTCATGGAGCTGTGGGGCAAATCAGGCCTCAACACCATCATCTTCACTGGTAACTACAACTCTTTCACAAACACTCCCACATCATACACTGAACATGAAGGAAAAGCCTGTAACTATAAATCCTCTGTGACTTTTCTTTCACATCACCAGAGCCGGACTTTTCTTACCTGGATGCTCTGGCTCCGTACCAGCCGCTGGCTATGAAGTGCGTTTACTGTCCCATCGACACTCGGCTCAACTTCCACCAAGTGTCAAAGCTGCTCAAAGAAGTCCAGGTACGGTCTGCACCTGTTTGGGTTGTGGGAGAAATAAGCAGTAAATGGATCACACAAATATGAACGGGGAGTTTATCATTGTGTAGGGTTCTTTGGTGAGGTTGAGAAGTGCCAAATTGAACGAGATAATGACTGGAAAAAATATCCTGATTGTGTGGCTCAGAAATGGCCGCCTCGTGGGTATTTTCTACACACAATACTGGAGAATTGTGCAGCAAGCAAATAATGAAGTCCTGTGGGTGAAAGAGAAGGATGGAAACAATTTTACAAGCTAACAGGAAAGGCACAAACAAGATAACAGAACAATATTAGATCAGCATTCAGAGCAGAGCAGGAGGGAATACACAACAGTCCTGGAAGGTAAATTGGACGTTTAATGGTTAGTCTTTCAGTTGACCTTATAATTCTTGCCACATCCACACTAATACTACAATCTCCATACACAGAAGCATTTTAGCACAGTTTAAAAAAATTATATCCGCCCGTACCTACAGGCCTGAAAACACTTTAAATGGCCGTTTAAATTCACAGGGCATTCAGGTGTAAACAGGAAGCAGATTGTCTACTACAGAGACAGCAATACGTAAGACCAGATTTCTTTGCTTGGATCGACGACGACACGAGATTTAAAAGGCCCAGACACACCAAACTGACCTCAGAGAACTAGCGGCAATGAAAGCCGACTGTTTTGCCGCCTGTTGCCTCATGTCTCAGCCAAGCAGTTGCGCATGAACACACTGCAAAGACTACAGCCAGCAGCTAACCATCACGTACATTCTGTGCCTGCGTGAGAGGAAACAACTCTTCACACCAGCAGACGGCAATCATCTTTATTCATCATTCAGAAAGGGAAACTGGAAGAGACCACTAGTTAGCCAGTTAGCATGTTAACAACACAATCCAGTGTTGAAAGAACGCCACGCACCAGTGAACCATAACACAAACCATCAGGAAACATTTCTGCTAAAGAGCTCAATGGATAAAGAAAAATAATCTGACCTCGTGGAACAAGTTTGTTTCGGTCTCACTTCCTCTGGACTTCAGCTCTTTGTTTACTTTCCTCACTTCTGATTCTCGCCAATTCAACATGCTGAAATTGATTGGAAAAAAAAGCAGACAGGAGCCGACGAGGGGCAGTGAAGCGGGACGCACCTCACGAACTAGAGCGACAGACGTTCACTGGTGGGCCAACATTAACCAACGACCGACTGTTAGCTCGATGTGTCAGGGCCTTAAGGTGATCAAGGTGGCGGAAAAGAGATTGGGAGTCATTGCAAAACAAATATGGCATCCTAACAGAGTGCTACTAGTCATGTTATCCATCACCAGAGGAAGCCATGGTGATGGGACATGAGGAAAAAATTACAGAAGATATGAAGACCTTTGTATAATGTTGTGGTTGACACGTCATAACCGATGTTTGTGTCATCATCTCCACAAGTCTCAGTTTCCAAACAAAACACAACCGCATTTTTCTGTCCCCATGCAAAGTGATTCAGTCCCTTTCTCCTTCAATGACATCGACCAACAACAGTGATGAGAAGTTCAACTCCCTCTGCAGCCATAATTTAAACCTTTCAGTCCCGTCTGTCTTCAATAAAAACATGCTCAGTCTAGACTTCAGTTAAGCTACCTCAGAGGACTGAATGAGCCATCAGGAGCTGATCACTGTCTCCTGTCTGTCCCTCCTGCAGCCCCTCCATGTGGTGTGTCCGGAGCAGTACACCCAGCCTCCACTGACCCAGTCGCACCGCTCTGATCTGATGCTGGAGCTGCAGCCTCCTCCGATGCCTTACAGACGCTGCTCTGTGCTCAACCTGCCCTTCAGACGCCGCTATGAGCGCGTCTACATCCTGCCTGAGGTGAGTCACATCAGAGCAGTAACTCACGAGCTTAAACTCATGTCGGTGTGAGTATATTCTGCTTAAGAGAGACCTAACAGACTCAGCAGACGATGTGGAATAAAATATAAAATCTTTGAAAACAGATGACGAGTGCATATTGTAGATTGTCTTGTGTTGGTAGGAGACGATGACGTGTATAAACCTGTCAGAGTTAAAGATTGTGTGTCTCCTGTCAGATCCCAGGTGGCCAGTTATCAAACCTAAAAGTCGATTCTTCCGTTCACAGCTGGCCAACTCGCTGGTGCCGTCTGAGATCAAACCTGGCATCTCACTGGCCACTGTGTCTGCAGTGCTGCACTCCAAGGACAACAAACACACACTCCAGGTGCGTCACATGACTGTGTTAATATGGATGTCACTGTTGAACCTGCTATCTTTTTAAATTAAAGTTTTTCCTCTCCTGTGTTGCCAGTCGGTGCCCAAACCCCCTCCGGTGCCCCCCAGCAAGAAGAGGAAGCGATTAATGGAGGAGCCCCCGGTGGTGCTGGCCCCCAAACCCCTGCTGAGTGGAGCTGTGCCCCTGGAAGCTTTCCTGGTCACACTGCAGAAGGTAAAACATCTGTACGAACCTCAGTGTTGTTTTTAAAACAGCCAGTGGTCACATATCTGTGCTTTGCTGCCCTCTCGTCATTGCTCCCTCATTCACGGTGTCTTTAGTGTTCCCAAAGGAGGTGACTGCAGTCTGATTGGTCTGTAGAGCATTCTCCAGAAATAACTACAACTTTTTTTTTTTCTTTTTTTTTTGTTTAGCAGAAATTACTTTTGCATTTTTGTGTCCATTGCTGAATGACAAGCAGAAGAACATAGTATCTATGAAACTTGATTGTGTATTCATCATGTAGTCTTCCCGTTGCAGCACGGTATCACAGAGGTCAAAGTGGAAGAGACAGCAGACGGACACATTCTACACCTGCAGGCGGAGGACACACTGATTCAGCTGGAGGAGGACGGGACACACATCGTCTGCGACAACAACGAGCCGCTGCGGACCACACTGCGAGACCTGGTGCTGCGCTTCCTGCAGAAACTCTGACCCGAGTCCTCCTCGCGTCTCCTCACTGTTCCGCTGTTTCTGCTTCACTGGACTGTGATTTGTAAAAAAGAGAGGATGGTGGAGGGGGAGGAGAGGACGAAGAGCTGTGAACTGGACTGTCTCCACCTGTAGATTTACTGTAAAGTCCAGTTATATTTTGTAAAATAGTATTTTGTATTAAAATGTTTTTCAGAGATCCTCTCAGCTATGTTTTTATCACTGCAACTTTTGCTGACAGTTAGCCATTTCAGTGGCAGCGCTAACCTCCCCACATGTAAATGTTCCACTAAAAAAAATTCCCCCAACACTATTTTGCAAGAGCACTGTCACTGCATCCTGGGTTTTGCCCCACCCCAGACAACTGTGATTGGGTTAAGTTTCCTGACCTGTCTCTGGCGCTGAGGCAGGACTGTCTGACTGAATGAGATCAGTCTGTGATCAACCCATCAGCTGAAGACGTGGCAAGTTTCCAGATGTGATGATTAACCAGGCGTTGGAACAGAACAGGTCGGGGTGCTTCTAACTGTGAACTAAATCTTCGAGATGTGTCTGAATGAAATGTTTCATCTTTTGCTCCCTTATTGAAAGAAAATAGGGTGTACTTTTTTTTTGTGTGCAGAGGACATTTTGACATGTCGCAGCATAGAGTATAAAACACAGCTGAATTTCATTGAGCTGTTTCAGTTTCAAGCTCCTGGTGCTGTGCATGCTGGAGCCATCGTTACGGTCATCAGTAACACCTGTGCTAGTCACGTCAAAATGTCTGCTGTTTAAAACAAAAAAAGCCTATCAGACAGCACATGGATGGAGGTTTTAGGACTGGTTGCTTGGCAATGGTGTAAGTGCAACTGAAGCTGTTTGAAGATTTACCGCTGGAATCCTCAGCTACTTTTGACAGTGTGAGTATTCAGAAACTGGTCTGTATTTATATACCTTGGTCAAACCCAGTAAATCAGTGTTCAGTTGTATTATAGGTGAAACTCAGTCAGGTGATGGAGAATTAAAAAGATCACGTAAACTGTCACCATCTGCTTCACTGGATGACTCTGTTCTCCTCTGGTCTGAATACGTTTATGTGGTAGCTTTGCCTGTTTTTTTAAATTAGCCTCTTTGCCACATTAAACTGAACAAACTGCTCTACCTCTCTGCATGTTGATGGTTATAACAATCAAAAAACAAAACAAAACTCCAGGTCGTTTATTTGTGTCACAAAATATTTAATCGGTGCAGGGTTCACATGGAGCTAAAATACATTTCATCATATGCTTACAATGTACAATATCTTACAGTGTACTACATGACTTGTGATAATACAACTGTGTGCAGCAGGAGGAACATTTGGGACAGATAAATGTCAGGCTCAGTGACGAACAAAAACTCCCCGCCCCTCCCAAAAAAAATAAAAATAAAATCAAATACTCTTCCTTCAGTGATGAACTGACACAGACGCAACAAACTGCCTCTGGTTGTCCAAACGTGTTGCGTATCACACCTCCTCCTAACTGCAGAGCACAAATGCTCCACCCACAAGCGTTCACTCGCTCGTTTTACTTGGGGAAGACGTGTCTTCAGGAAAAAGAGAAAAAGGTATCATGGTATGTTTGTTGCGTTTCAGCGGGTGTAGACTTTAAAATGGGGACACTTATGGTTTCTCACAGGAAGAACAAACAGGGGACGCTGGTGTTGATTCCATCAGTCATATTGACAGTGCACGTGTGTTGCGAGGTCAGTGAGGTGTGGTCCGACGAGATGTAACTGGTCAGATATTCAACTAAAATATATTTCTACTACTATGAACCCACATCAGCTTTATTAATCCCTGACGTATGAACATCAGATCGCCCCCTCTTTGTTCTTCCTTCTAGTAATCTGTACTTACAGGCAGTGTGCATCTGGAAGCTTTCTAGTTTGATGACGTTTCCTGGTGCGGTCAAAAAGGTCTTAAAGGTGAACTTCAATATTTTTTAACCTGGACCCTATTTTCCGCTCCTTTGTGTCCACGTGACGAATAGGAGCAACATTTTTTTAACTGGTCCAGTACTGAGTCAATATATGTGCACTAAAAGTTTTTGTCACTGACAGGCTCCAAAACTATTAATGGCGTATGCCCCAGGTGAGCAATTCCACTGGACTGAATAGGTGCCATCTTGGAGTCTGGTATCTAGTCATTATTAAACATCTATGAATTGTGCGCTGTCAATGTACGTCCACTAAAAGTGTTCGTTTTTGCCACTGACAGACTCAGATTATGCTAAGTGTCTGACAACCTTATAGAAAGGATCCCTACAGAGAACAGCCTTTTTGTTTACCAGAAAATCACTGTCGCCAAACCCACCAGACTCCATTTAAACTCCATTTTATGGTGAAATAAAATCTCTATCTCTGTAGGGATCCATTCCTTAATGTTGACACTTTGCAGACACTTAGAATAACAATCTGAGCCTGTCAGTGACAAAAACAAACACTTAAAGTGGACGCACACTGACAGCTGACAGTGAAGTGCCTGTAGGAATTCTATTCCAGCGCTCAATACTGGACCAATTTCAAAATGTCTTGTTCCTGTTTGTCACTTAGACACAAAAACCTTAATAAATAGGATCCAGGATAAGAAATCCTTAAGTTACCCTTTGTGCACCCTGAGGCTTGCTTGGTCTTATCAGAGTGTGACTTCAGACAAAAGGTGGACAGCAGAGGTAGCAGAGCTTTTAGAGGGCAACATGATCGAGGTGTGCTGACATACTTTGCGTAAACTAATTAAAAGACAGGGAGGGAATCGCAACGTCTCCCTCTGGCAGTAAGTGTCCAACATGGAAGTGAAAGTGACGTTCAAACATTTTTTTTTTTTTTTTTTACAAATATTTTTAGGGGTAGTAATTAGAATTTGGTGAATTTAAATAGAAAAGTATTCAAAACATAGGAACTACGGAACAAGTTTTTCCACCATGTCCTAAGTGACAGGGAAACATTAAAGCTGCTGTAATGAATATTTTTCTAATAATGCATAAAAAGACTGTGTGTGATGATAAAGAGGTCGCTCCTGGTGACAAACCCACCGAGAACGATCACCAGAGTTTACCACGTAGAGGTTTATAGCAGCTTTCAGCTCCTGGTTTTGGTTTTCTTGGCATCAACTTCATGGTTTTGGTTTGTTTTTTGCTGCGGCAGGCAGCGATAAAAGCTCTCCTAAGGCCAGTATAGCTACCCGCCCAGCACCAAGCGGCTGATCGAGACAGTCTGCAACTACCTGGTGAACACAGTGGAGCATTTAGCACCTCAAGAGCTGGATTATTTTTCTCAGGAGCTGACGGGGCTCAAATCAGGACAGTGAATATCAGAATCCATTCATCACATGGACACAAATGTGACTCCAAATTAATGTTAAAAGGTGATAATATGTTGTTGTGTTCGCAACTTGTTTCTGATGCCCTGAAAAAGACTGAAAAACATCTTTGCTGAGAAATGTGGGCAAACTGTCCACTATTTTCTTCCTAAATTTAAGTCCTCACCTGTTAGTCACATGATCTTTTCAAATTTAGAGGAGCTCTGTATCACACTCTGAGCTCTTTGTGGGTATGGGACATGGTAAAGCCAAAACGTGTCATTGTCATTGTCCTCTGCGCTCTCACTGTGCCGTCACTTTTGCCCGTGGCTGCCTCGAGGGTTGATATTCACGTGTGATCATCTGAGTGGGGGATTACACCTGATAAATGTGTCCTCTGTCCTGAAGTCTCTCCTCCTCCTCTACTTGGATTCCTTCTCAGCCTCCAGCAGTGCAGAAGTGATGCCTAGCTTCTTTAACTCCTCCACCAGGTCTCCGTTCTGGTGCATCTGCAGCAGGATGTCGCAGCCCCCGACAAACTCGCCGTTGAAGTACACCTGAGGGATCGTGGGCCAGTTGGAGAACACCTTGACTCCTGTGGAAGGAAGATGGCGTCAGAAATCGACTAAAACCAGTCAGGTGTCAGGGTTAGGGAACCGAGAGAGAAAGACTAACCCATGACAGTTTAATGTGAGTACATTTAAGTTTAAAACCAGTCACATAATATCCTGCTGTTAACACCCAGCACCAGGAAATGATTGCAAGCACTGTTCGATACAGCACAGTATAGGGGTATTTTTGTGTGGCAATATTTCATTGTAACAGTGCCTTTTTTTATCATATAAACTATTAATATTACAAATACAAATTAAACTTTAGATAGCCGGCTAGAATAATATAATCAATTGCTGTTTCAGTCCACCACAAACAGATTCCTGCTGCAAAAACACAGCCAGAAAACTTTATTTTATTAGATAAAACAGATAGACATAAATTTAGAGTTTAAAAAAGAAAAGGTGATAAATCTCAATATATCTTATTGCAATACTCAGCATAGTGCAACACATCCCAATAATATTGTATCATGACTGAAGTATCGTAAAAGTGTTTGTTTTTGTCACTGACAGGCTCAGATCATTATTTTAAGTGTCGGACAACATTATGAAAGGATCCTTACAGAGATAGAGCTTTGTGTTAAAGAGTAAGATCCTTTTGTTTAACCAGAAACAGCCCAAAAATTGCCTCCGCCAAACGTATCGATTTCGGGGCTGTTTCTGGTTAAACAAAAAGGATGTTACTCGTTAACAAAACGCTCTATCTCTGTAGGGATCCTTTCAATACGGAAGCGTATTGCATTCACTTGACAAATAAAAAAAATAATCTGTTTTTATTGAGTAAATTTTTTTTTTATTATTATTTTTTTTATTTTTCTGTTTTTTTTTTTGTGGTAATTTTGTTTCTGTTTTTCTTGGTATTTTTTGTTTTTGTTTTTCGGGGTCATTTTTTCTGTTTTTCTGAGTATTTTTCAACAGACACTTTCATTCCTTTCTTGAGAGCTCGATATAATGGAAGCAAACATGACATTGTTTAGTTTAATCCAGTTTTACTTTGTTTTGGGTTATGTGTCCAACTGATTCTGGAGAAACACTGCAATGTCCTGCAGATCTGAATGGGCTTTTCGTCTGAAATACTCAGAAAAACAGAAAAACAGAAAAAATTACACCGAAAAACAAAAAAAACCCACGAAAAACAGAAAAAAAAATGACCACGAGAAACAGAAACAAATTACACTGAAAAAAACACAAAAAAAGAAAAAAAAAATAATGAAAAACAGAAAAAAATTACCACGAAAAACAGAAAAATAAAAAAATTACTCTGAAAAACAGAAAAAAAATTACTCAATAAAACAGATTTTTTTTTTATGTGTCAAGTGAATGCAATATGCTTCTGTATTTCCTAACATTGTCAGACACTTGGAATAACAACCCGAGCCTGTCAGTGGCAAAAACAGTGCTCAATTGCCCCGAGTGGTTATATTGTGGTTATATAGCTGTAGCATGCATGATACGATGTTAATTCCACTACAGAAGAGACGTGATGCTCACTAAAATTGGGTGGGGAAAGAGTGGATATATTGATGTTGGTATTAGTTATCAGCCAAATAGGTTGTTTATATCGACATATCGGATATCGGCAAAAAATCCGATCCAAATCAAATCGCACATCCCTAAAACCCACAAGAATGACTGTAACTGAACGACTTGTATTTATAAAGCTCAGCAATACAGTGGATA